ACTGCTCCATTTGTTTGTTTTCAAGCTATAATGTTACTTCAAAGAGGAGAGCTTCTGCATTTCAGGTGGCATGATGTGCCGCATTATTACCAAACGTGCCCATGTTTGGGGCTTTAGATCTCACCTCCACTGTGAGTGGGGAATTTGCCTGTTCTTCCCTTGCTTGGCAGATAATCCAGTTTCCTCCTGTCGTCCAATGACAGCTAACTGACATCTCTAAATTCCCCTTGTCCAGGGTGCACCTCCGCAGCGGTTCCTGTGCAGCCCGGAACAGGCTAACCCCCTCCATGACCCCCGTCCACGGTACGCGCCCCGGAGATGGATGGGTGTTCCCCGTTCAAACTCCAGTATCCTCAGCAGACATGGGTATTTTTGTACACAGGCGTGACGCACACTGACATGTCAACAATGCGTGTGGCATTTCACAGAAGAAAAAAAAATGCGGCTTGATCACGGAGCCAAGCGTGAATGAGGGAATCCGTGTCACCGCTCATCATTACTGCAGGCGGAGGAAGGAAAATGGCGGGAACGAATCAGACGTCGATCTCCGTCTAGGGTTACTGGCGCTCGAGGCCTCTGCTGCTTCACTCCACCAGCGCAAGCTCAGAGCTCCTCCACGGTGATGGGCGGTTGGCACGGGCGCTGGCACGGTGGGCAGAGCAGCTCTTTGTGATTTCAGAAGACCTGGCAGCCAAGCTGGAAGCCGTGGAGACCAGCACCAAGGAGGTCTGAGGGTCACATGGACTCAATGAGCCTTTTATTTGTTATTCTCCATGGAGTGGGAGAGCTCTGTGAAACCACAGCAGAATGGGTAAACATGGCCGCCGGCACAGAACCAGCAAAAGCAGAATTTTCTTATGAAATTATTTTTGACATGCATTTTGTCTTTTTTGAATCTTCGCAGGTATCCGCCAGCAGTCGACAAGTTACCAGTTCATCGCTACCGAGGCCTCCAGATCAATATGGCCGTCTCGTTAGCGTAGCCTCCGAAATATCAACTTCGCTTCTTAATTCATGCACCCAAAACAGGCCGATTATCTCAAAAAAAAAAAAACTAGAAAGAGCCGAATCGAAGGAGACACTGAGGACGTAGAACTGAGAAGCATCGACGGAAAGAGACGCGTTCCATTCGTAACATGAGCTTAACTACGCAAAACAGGCCTCTGAAGGAATCCAAGTCGCTGGAAGCGCTCTGGAGGGAGGGGGCACCTAGACTGGGCTGAACGGTAAATATTTCAAAGGCCTCATCCATTATTGACAGAATGGTTTTGCGTGTGTGCGGCAGACCGGAAACCAAGAGCCCCCCCCCCCCCCCCCCCCCCCCCCCCCCCCGCCCCCCCCCCCCCCCCCCCCCCAGCGGCCTCTCCCATGAGGACCTCCACCCATTCCTGCGCTCATGTAAGCCGTCCTTCACGCTGCCTGAAGCAGCCGAGAGGCCTGTCACTCTTTCTTCATTCTCCAACCGATAAAAGACACTTCAGATTTCTCCGGCTGATGGGACGTTATTTCATGTAGGCATCACCATAATGGCTGGACAAACTTATCTGTATATTTCTGGTGCATATTAAAAGATGGACCACGTCACTATGGTGGACAGAAACTATTTAAATCACGCCACCATGATTCTAGTTATTACTTTTAGCGTTAAAAAAAGCAAAAGAAAGAACCAAATCTACATAAAAGGCTTTTCTGAATTTTTTGTCACACCACCAAACTGGACTGAAATCTCCTCACAAGGACACACTGTAACCAGGCAGTAAGTGGTCTGTAATTCAATTAAATGGTCTTGCGTTGACCAATCAGAAAGACCCCAGCTCAGCAAAGAGCAGACATATTTCCCCTGGAAGCTTTAGGAGCTTCCAGCAGGCACTAGATTTTCCGGGGGAACTGGCGTTTGGGAGATGCTGGGGTGTGGCTGACACATGGACCAAAGCCAGGGGGCGCCGTCGCGGCTGCACGGCCCGAGCTGTGACTCCGAGGACAGACGCCTATCGCCTTCCGCTCACACAAAGCATACCTACTGTGCCATGTCACCCAGCACCCATTTAGAGACCCGACAAAAACAATGCCAGGGTTGGTGCCCGGTGGACGCGGCAAAGCGGGCATCTCGGAATGGTTTCAAAAACTTCAGCACAGGCCAAATCAAAACTGAGGTAGAGAGCCAGGTGATAAGATAGCAGTGATGTCAGAGAGGTTCTCACTGTCCTTATGGGGACTGCACTGCAGTGATGTCAGAGAGGTTCTCACTGTCCTTATGGGGACTGCACAGCAGTGATGTCAGAGAGGTTC